CGACCTATGATGTCTTCATCAACCCATAAATCACAGGTAGGAAAAAGTCACTGATGTCACATTGATAGCTTGACCAGACACTGGACATGAAACTGACCACTGACCACAGGAAAGTGGACAACAGGAAACTGACATATATAGCAGTTTAGTTGTGTCCGTTATCATTACTATAAGGGTCGGACACAGAACTGTAGTATATTGTCTACTAGACAGGTAAGATACAGACAGGTAAGGCTGTGATGGTTTATCATCGTCTGTAGACATATATCTACTTATATTATCACCAATGCTCATTCTATATTAATATTATTACAAAATTATTATTTATGTGTTGTTATGCATGCGTTATTGACCACACATACATAAGTAGGCTTACACAACTTCATTAACACTTGTATTAGTGTCTAAAACTGTATTACATATACATCAGCAAATTTCCATCTGTTATTAACATTTTGCATTCCGATATTTGTAATATCTAATCTGTAGAAATGGCTATTTTCTTTATTTGAAGTGACTTGTATCAGCTATAGTTAACTATCTTGCCAACTACTCTCCCTATTTTAGAAGGAGACTCCTGATTGTAAAACTGAGTATTTTCAACCAGTGAATTCACTTTTCTATTCCTATTTTCTAAGATCTGATGATTTTCAACTCAAGATTAGATGCCATTTAAAAGTGTTATTTTTTCCCTTTTATATGGTGTAATTTGTACATAATCATACTTCCTGTTTATCTCAGCACATTCATTTTTGAAAAATTGCTCGTTCACATCTTGATTTGTGTTTAATATAAAATTGAATGTGGAATGACAAAATAATAAGGTTTTGTAAAACATACATATGACCGCACTAGTACTTTACGTAGAAATTTAGCTCAACACCAAGTATGTTAACCAACATGGCATACAGAAAGACCAATGGAAAAGGTAAATACCAAATGTCCCCTCAACTAATTATAAAATTTGATGTGGGCATTAAAAAGGAAAGTAGGAGAGACAATTACAGGAAGTTGTCACTGTTCTTTAGAAACATTTATATACCTATATTCTCAAGACAGTGAAGTCATCATACTGCTTTCTCATACACAAAAACACTACATTTATTTACACTAATACATGCATTATGTTCCTTTTCCCGGTGTAATTGCCGTCAAAAATTATTAATGGCTACAATTAATACATCATTACGATGAGAAATGCACATAATTAGCTTCTTTTTTTCAACGATTTTCCCCACTCTTCATAAATATACAAAATTAACTAAATTTTGTCCTATTTCATAATAAGGAAATATTTTCTTTCATATTTTACTTTAAATAATGACCTACTCATTTTAAATATGAATATTAAAATGCAATAATTTAGGCAAATAGACCTTGTAGCAATTACATTGTATGTACCGGAAAAATAGTTGGTGTTTTTTGGGTAATTCTGATTCAGTTGTGAGATTTCTGTTTGTCTTATCTCTCTAATAGACATGTTACCTGCACTGATCAGTTGCAAGATTTCTGTTTGTCTATCTCTCTTAGATGTGTTACCTGCACTGATCAGTTGTGAGATTTCTGTTTGTCTATCTCTCTTAGACGTGTTACCTGCACTGATCAGTTGTGAGATGTCCGTTTGTCTATCTCTCTTAGACGTGTTACCTGCACTGATCAGTTGTGAGATTTCCGTTTGTCTATCTCTCTTAGACGTGTTACCTGCACTGATCAGTATACACTGTTTAACTTGTATTGTAAGCTGCAGGATAACTGTAATACCCAAATATTCCTTTGGTGTAAACCTAAGTAGATACTGATACATGATAATTAAAATGAATCCCCTTCTGACACCCCCTCCCAACCACCCACCCACCCTTAGCACTTCCTCTGGACTAAGGTTAGTTGTAAGAGACTTATACATGACAACCCCCCTCCCCCTCTCTGACACCCCCTCACTCCCAACCTCAAACTTTTAGGGACTCCAATGGGACTGTTCATTGGAAAACATGATACATAGAAGTATTAACCGCATTTGTAGTAAGTATGCTTCAAGCATAGGCCAGTGACAGTCTCCAAGATAAAACAAAACAGTTCAACATGTCAGCCCAGCATGTGTGAAGTGAGGGACTTGTGCAAGTCCAGGACTCACCATATTACATACTGACCATTTTCCTTTATTAACTAGACTGGCTACTAGTTTTAATGAAGAATTTCACAGCAGCATTTCATTACTAGCTTATCTCCCCCTAGTTTGAGAACTTGGAATCGGACATCCAAGTGATCAAAATGATTATAATCAATTTTTTTCTATAATTCAATATTCTTGAGACAGTGGTCTGCATGTTTACAGTTGGACCTGAGCTTTTTATTTGTAGATTTGTCTAGTGTTCTGATGATGCCTTCTGATCAGCCTTATTTGACACAGAGTTTCAAAGTTTACTTCTTCACTGAAATATTATATTCTGAAGTAAAGGAACTGGTCTGTCTGCATAAACTAAAAGACCCTATGTCTTGCTAGACAGACGAAAGGCTCGTAGTTCTAACAAATCAAAATGCTCAATAGTCTAACTAGATGGAGTAAAACAAGCAAATTTTTGGAATTTATATTCCCCGCTTGCAGGACATATTGTAGGTAAACATTATTGAGGTTAGGTTTAAACATGTGAATATCGTGCTGTTGAGACATAATTTATATAGCTAGAAACTCAAAGAAAAAATAGCCTTATACAGAAGTTAGACTTTTTGTTGAACATGTAGGTATTACGGTGTAAATTAATCGTTTCATCAATTAGAATTTACTAACCTCATTAATTATCCGCAAATATGCACAAATCACATTGGTTGGCAAACTTAGCATGAGTCGGATGTGCATACGGAATTTGGTTGAAATATCTGCACAATATCTACAGCAATTATCACACGAAAACCAAAGAGTGCCCAAGATGGTTGGAAAGACAGAGGAACACAAACATTGTCATCAAGTTTGAAGGAATTTGGATAATATTTGCTAGATATTAAGCGGAAACTGCAGATAATGACGTTTTTCATTAATCAAGGGGCCATAACTCCACCAAATGGTTGTCAAACTTGACTGAGCCCTTAATGTGTTGAACCCTGTTACTAAGTTTGAAAACAATCAGATAATATTTGCGAGAGTTAATGAACAGAAACGGCAGATAATGATGTTTTTCGTTATTCAAGGGGCCATAACTCTGCCAAATAAAATCTGCTGAAAGTGGTCGTCGAATTTGGCCGAGCCCTTAAAGCATTTAACCCTGTTACCAAGTTTGAAGAAAATCGGTTAACATTTGTTTCAGTTATTGTGAGGACAGACAGACACAGACAGACGGAGTGACAGACAGACAAACCCAAATTAAGTTCCCCCGTTTCGGTGAAAGCGATGGATAAAAAGCTCAATAGTCTTACTAAACACAGTCAAAAGGCCAATAGTCTTACGAGATAGAGTCAAGAATCCCAGTTTTACTAGACAGGGCGGCTGTCCAGATGATTCATGTCTATTAGGTGTAGGAGATCCCAATTAGGCCTTACCACTAAATGTCCATCATTTTTGCACCTGCAACATGCTGCAGCACTCCTAGGCCTCCAGGTAAGTTCTTTACCTGTACAGTCACTGTCAAGGCAGGGCACAACTGTCTCACCTGTACACAGGTAGGATCATCATTTGTCAGTAAAACAGGGAGAAATGACGACCTGTACCTATACACTGTAATCCTACTGATACAATGTTTATACAGCTTCTGGCGTTGGATTTTAAGGTTCCTTGCTTGGATTATCACCTGTCTGTCAATAACCAGGTAGCAATGATTCTCTCTCCAGAGATATATGTGAAGCTCTTTAATTCTGAACACCACTGGATATATAACTGCTGCATTTCTTTTTCCATCTTTTTACCTATAAAAGGGTTTTTTTCAGTAGCACATACTTGCCGAACCTTTCATGGCCATGGGGAACCATTAAATGACAAAAATTGAAAATTTATTCTCATGACTGCTATATGTAACAAACTGATGTGAAAGGTGCCGAAGTTAATATTTTATAAGCAATAAAGTAATTGAATTCAGTGAAATGCAAGATGTTAGGCCTTGTTTGTACCAATATTAAATGTTTCCTACCAAAACATGAAGTTTTTGGAAAATTGATTTTATAATGTTTTAGAACCAAAAGAGGGAAGATAACTCTGCAAACACCCTGTGAACACAAACCACAACACAAATTGGGTGATTTTAACAAGCCATTAAAATTGTGTTTATAAGATTTACAGTTTAGGACCTGACAAAGCTACTGCCCCACCTCCTATACACCCTGCGTACAATGTAGCTGAGGTGTAATAGAGCGATAAGGATTTAACACATTTTCTACTCCTAAAACACCACTGAACCACCTCACAAAGTGAGCCTGGCTAGCTTACTTCACACAATATTTATTTCTCATCTAAAAAATACTTTTATTTCTATCTTTAAAAAAATACACGATAAGAATTTTCATCCATATAAATCTTGTTGGTTTTTTCAGATCAATGTAATTTTCAAAACCTAACCCTGAATAATTCAAGCAACTTTGTAAACCAGTCCTTAAGTAACAAGGTCACTCATATAAATATTTGAGTATACTAACCTCAAGGTCACACTATATACTTATCTATGTAAATAAAACCTATGTAATCTTAAACATCCTGTCTATTCAAAACAAAAATATCCCACACATGTATGTCTTCAACAGGTTTCTTCTACCTACACTCTAATTCTATCTGATATTGGAGTGTGTTATAGACTATAGAATCATGTGTAACCTTGATTTGATTTGATATGATGGATAAGGGGAGATAATCCAATTACCCCCCCTTCCTCTGAAAACTTGCTGTTCTCATAGGTTTGAAGGTTATTATTACACTATCTTAAGCTGAACAAACACAAACTCAAATTTACTATATCCATGAAATAAATTTTCCTTTTAAATTTATATTTTTTGATTTCTAACATTTTCCTTTTAAATTTCAGATTTGTAGACCTTCACAAACGATGTGTCTACAACTGACCAGGATCTGTGACTAACTGACAGCATACCACAAAGGTAATCTAAGAAATAGTTTAGATATACTGAATTTTTTTCCTATCTAAATTATCACCCTTGCATCTGAACAAACTACATTGTAAATTTACCATTTGAATTTGCTAATGTGNGGGGGAGAGGGAGACAATTTGATGATGAATGTTCTCTAGGGTAAAACTAAATAAAGTCAAAAGTCTGTGATATTGGGTAATATCAGGTATAAACTCGTACGATTTCTCCACAGATTTACAAATATTTTGTTGATATACCTGTATCCTTCTGTATGTGAAAATATGTTCTACAGATCTGTTTTATTTGGAAACATGTAAGATGTGTTATGAACATTTCCCAAGATTGAATTTGACATCTAAATTTGTAATGGAGTATTGGGGTAAATTATTTCTATTTTTTGGGATGTTGATTTTTCATGTAATTTTAATTTATGTGTTAATAAGCAATGAGAGATGATTGTAAGCTTTGATATCACTAATATTCATTAAGCTTTTCACCACTGTAAACTATAATGGACTTACCCAGATCAATTCATGGTATTTCTTTTTAAGCTGATAGGGGTGAAGGGATAATGACAAAATGTCATCAAAAAGGATATTACAGTATTGAAATCCTCACTAATAATTCATTCAAAATTATTCATATTAGCAAATCTGATGTTTTCCATCAAAGCACAAAGTAACAGCTGCAATTTTTCAAACCAAAAACATCGAAATTCAAAGATAACCTCAACCTTGATAAAAAAAAAAAAAGATTAACACATATAAAGATCACCCAAAAAGAAATTTTATTTTACAAATTTTTGAATTTTAAAATATCTTGTTCACAGAACTGTAAACAGACAATGGTAAGAGATAAGGATATAGGATGTCTAGGTTTTTGTTTTCCTGATCGATGAACTGTGGAGACAGATTCATTGATCGATGAAATCGTAAGATGACCGAGCATGCCGCTAGGTCTGTGATAGGAGAACAATGGAACCCCTGCCCGATGACCAATAGGGGCCTGTAGACCTGCCAGAGCGATCTGTGAAGTCGGGACGTGTATCTTAACCACCCGTTTAGTATCTAATCGAACATCATAAGCCGTGTGTCAAACACACAGTGATGTGTACCGATCAAACCTTCCCTCGATTATACATCTGGTCTATCCACACCTCCCCTTAAATCACAGCCTGGTGTATTAACATACACATATATCCTAATCTCCAACAGAACTAATTGAAACTAATGAGGTATCAAAATTCAATTTTGAAAACATAATTGTCGTTAATAATAGGTTTTATTTTGGTGGCTTCATGCTTGATGGATCATGTCTATACAATAGGGAGGTTGTCCCCCTTTACGCTCCTCCTACTCTGTGGTAACCGTCGGTAACCAGAGCCGAGAGATTTTACCCTAAGCTGATACTATTGTGTACTTGTCAAGTCCCGTGAGTACAAGACGTATTAAGTGCAAGGTCATCATTAAAGGTCGCCAGTGTCAGGTGTCAAGTTTTTTACAGAATACAAATTTTGTGTCAGCTGTCAATCTTAACAGCCATTTACTGCAAATTTTAAACTGTTCACATAAACAAAGGATAAAATATTTTCAAAAACGACAACAATTATGTGTATATCTTTATATCAAGTGCGTGCCCTATAACCAATGGCACTGTGTCATTACTTGTGTATATATAATTAATTACACAATGATGTTTTTTTGTTAGCTTGTAAACTTTTTAAAGGAACTAAACAATTTAAAAACAGTCATTTAACTATTTCCATATATATACTTGAAACATTACTGCAGAACAACAAATCAGTGGTTATTGATTCCACACAGGTATATATAGGTCACTTTCTTGTGAAATGGAATGCTAAACACATATCAAATAACATATTTAAAAGTTATTTTGAAATATGGATAAGCTTTGTAGGAGGAATAACCAATATAAATCAAATACCTATATATTTTTTTTAAATCTTAGTAACTTCAAGGAATTAAAAGGGTCACTACTGTCTTAACTATCTAATGATGAAAAAAACATTTTTTTTTTTAAATATATGTTTTATTTTTAAAAAAGTATGTAGTTGTATCAAGCTGACCAATACTTGTGAGACTATAGTACAGCTATACTCCATGGTTCCCACCCGAGTGAATGAATCTGTCACGTAGAGTGACATACCTGGGTGACACTGGCACGTAACACATGTTAGCTGTTTTCTAACTGTACAGGTAGATAGAACTTTAGACAGGTACGGCCTGTTGGTGGAGGCTTGCGACTCGTCTGATAACACACAATCTGTCGGAATCTGGTTTCAAAATCAAGATTTGGCATCAATCACTATGGGGTATTTAAATAGACTGTTGACAAATATGGTGCCCAACGCTTGGCAGGCTACTTACAATCTGCATCAAAGTTTTTTTCTCTTTTCTTTTTTTAACATATATGTTTATTTTCCCACACTTCTGACTACAAGGAAATTTTTATCACATTATTTTTGGTAATTGATCCTTATAGTCCAAATCAGAAAAAAATCAATGACAAAGCTAGGAAAATTGCGGATTTGGAAATATATAAATTGTGAAATGGAATGCATTAGGTAATTGTTTTTAACCTACAATGTTTATATATTTCATGAATTATCAGAAGAGATTAAAAAAAAAAATAGGCATTTTTTTTATAAATAATCTTAAATAATATGGGGGGGGGGCAGAGGGGCCTATTTGCAATTGGGAATTTAATTTAAATAGATATCCCACAAGGTATTGTTTCCTTTTTCTCAAATAGTTATTCAAAACTGTATTTATGCCAGAAAAGTTGTTGCCAAAGCACAGTTACAGTTTTTGGCAGTGGTACAAGGATCCTTCACTCATTCACCCCTGAAATATCATAATGAACTATTCCAACCTTTGAATTGGAAGAGTTCAAATGTGTCTTCAGGGGTGAATGAGTTAAGGCTTATCCACTTAACTGTTTGGGAGCCTTCAACTTCGTGACAATAAGCTTAATCTCCGAGGATTCATGGAATGTAAGAGAGGGCAACCCCAGAATTTATACCATGCACTGTACCACAATTTAGGTTAAAAGGGTGACACAAGATGAAACATTTATTTTTTTCAAAATATAAAGCATTTAAACAGAAAGTGTCGTTGATACAGGAAAATGTGCCTTCCTAAATATGGCCACTTAATGTCTGTCTGTCACCAGCGAGGTAACTGACAAGTTGAGAGATGCCAGCAGTGATTACCCTCCCCACCTAGTCCTGTCAAACTTACGTCATCTCTCAGTTGGCATGACTATCCAGGCAAATTAACCAATCAAACACAGCTATCAAGACAAATTAACCAATTTGATATTAAAAATTAACCAATCAAACTCCACTACCCATACAAATTAACCAATCAGATATTAGCATGTCAATTAAGTTATCAGGATAGGGTATGTTGACATGTTTGGGGCACAGAGCATGTTAATTTAAGTGTCAGAGTCACAACAGCAGTGTACACCTCACTAGATAGTTAAGGTCACAAGTAACATGGAAGTATACAGTACAGTATTTAAGATGATTTATTTTCCATACAATAGGCACAACAACAAATTTCTGGAGTACTATCTAAAGCCAAGTTATTACGATGCCAATTATAAGCTTGATCACTGCTGATGAAACAGGAGAGCGACACCTGGTCAGCTCTCACTGATGTCTGAGTAGGATTTGAGGAGAGGTGAAGACAATGAAGAGTTATTTGCAGATAAAATATATAATTATTTATTATGCAAATAAAACTTATATTTTTCGTACTTTCAACAGCTCGATCAGCCACAACACCGAAATATGACTAAATATCTTTAGATAATACAGGGAATTTGTAACGGTGGTTATCTCTGCAACCCCGAACGGAGGTTATCTCTGTAACCCGTAACGGTGGTTATCTCTGTAACCCGTAACGGTGGTTATCTCTGTAACCCCTAACAGTGGTTATCTCTGTAACCCCTAAAAGTGGTTATCTCTGTAACCCCTAACAGTGGTTATCTCTGTAACCCCTAACAGTGGTTATCTCTGTAACCCCTAATAGTGGTTATCTCTGTAACCCCTAACAGTGGTTATCTCTGTAACCCCTAACAGTGGTTATCTCTGTAACCCCTAAC